TGGGGCATCCACCACCTCTCTGGGCAACCTCTGCCAGCGCTTCACCACCCTCAGTGTAAAAAATTTCTTCCTTATATCTAGTCTAAATCTACCCCCCTTTAGTTTAAAGCCATTCCCCCTTGTCCTGTCACAACAGGCCCTGCTAAAGAGTTTGCCGCCATCTTTTTTATAAGTCCCCTTGAAGTACTGACAGGCTGCAATAAGGTCTCCCTAGAGCCTTCTCTTCTCTAGGCTGAAGAACCCCAACTCTCTCAACCTTTCTTCATAGGAGAGCTGTTCCATCCCCCTGATCATTTTTGTGGCCCTCCTCTGGACCCACTCCAACAGGTCCGTGTCTTTCTTATGCTGAGGGCTCTAGAGCTGGACGCAGTACTCCGGGTGGGATCTCACCAGAGCAGAGTAGAGAGACAGAATCACCTCCCTTGACCTGCTGGCCATGCTTCTTTGGATGCAGCCCAGGATATGATTGGCCTTCTGGATCAAGTCTCTAGATGCTGCCCACACTTTCCTTCCTGCTGTTCTCACATGTGCATTCAGAAAAGAAAAGTGCTTACCGTCGTTTGCTGGATGGTATGCCTGTTTGGTCTTCACTGGAGGCACTGTGCTGTTAAATTTGTTACCCAGAGGTGGGTCAGTCAAGCTCACAGAAGATTCTCTGTTCACAGCATCGATCTTTGATGAATCAATGGTTTTAGCTTGGAAGGAAATAAAGCAAAGATATGTGTGATTATCATTTCCTTTTTGTACAGAAACCTGGATGCGCTCAGTGCCCAGCAAGGGAAGGGAACCCAGCCCTGCCGTGTTAGTCCTCTACCCTGCAAGGCAAACAGGATGTGGTGCAATAGCGACCACCTCCTCCTGTGTATCAGGGGCCTTCAATTCTCACAGATTTCAAAGATGAAATGAACCTGTCAAGACTGAATCCACAGCCAAAGCAGAGCTTGTTTTCTGATGGTAAATAAGGTAATTGGTCTAAAAAGTATGAGTGCAACACCAGCTGTCAAAGGATGAGGTGTGAGGAAGCGGCAAGCAGAACTGTAGCTAAGCATCACAGGTATTACCAACACAGCAGATGACAAAATGGTGGTAAATAGTCCATACCTCTTGCAAGGCTCAACGGCATCCTTTGCCTTGCCAGTCTTTCTGCAGAAGTAGGGTATGTGGGGTAGCAACTACTGCTAGAGGGGAGGTTGTGGGAAATCTTGTGGCAGCAATAGTCCTCTCCTGCACTGATGCATGTGGCAAGATCAAGAAGTTCATATCTGCAGGGTTCCCCGCTGCTTATCCCAACCTTATCCCTTCCTGTGGCATGAGCATCCACGGGTACACGGATGTAATTTATTGAGCAAATAACCCACTGAAGTAAAAGTTGTCTGTTGATGGTCAACTGAAACTTGGACAAAAAAGGCCTAAACAAACACACAGGGCTTTGATGTTGTTACTGAGTAGTCAGGGGTTCCCTCCAGTAGACTCTGAACCACGGGGTTGATAGGAAAATTATCAGTTTGCACAAGGCACACTAACCGGCACAAGCTGATTCAAAGCCTGCTCTTGTGTTTACCCTCGCAGCCTTATTTGGGGAGCCTGGCTCCAAGACAGCCCTGGGCTGCCAGGAACATTGCCTTGGGGAATGCAAACGCCCTTTTCACATGCCTTTTTCCCATATCTTAAATGTTCCACGCATTTCCTAGCCTATATTTAACTAGCTTATTGTGGTATTTAATTTGTATTGGCTTATTTACCTTCAAGTTAAACAAACACTAACACTTGTGACTACTGGTCTGTGATAATTACACGTTAACCTTCTAGTTGGCTAATTAAAAACCTTGGTAAAAAGGCCATCGTATCTGCACATGACAGACAAAAAAGCTATTGTATCTCTTTTTATTTTGAATTAGCTATAACCTCTTTGTGTCAAAAGGTTATACTCATAATCCATTGCTTATGACAACCAGATTCATCACATTGTCTCTTTACTCATTTCTGCGAAGATGAAAATCTCATTGGGGCCATCAAGCCTTTAGGTAAAGAATAGCCTCATGTAAGGGAAATAATAATTTCCCCTGAGGAAGATTGGGAACCTCATCACCTACAGAGTGGACAAACACAGAAAAGTCATTACGAATGCCAGCTCTTTTCTGATCTCTGGAGTGGAAGAAGGGAGAGGAGGAGAGGATGAGGGGAGGAATTGAGTGTGATTTTCAGGTCTCAGTTCTGCACACAACTTCACAAGAAAAGTCTTGAAACCACCTTCCTTTGCATAAGGGACTAAATGAAAGAGAGAAACAGACTGGACCATGAATTATCAGTGGTCAGCAATGGGCTTCACTGGCCATCTGACAAATGATGACAGTCACATCTTGGTGCAATGACCATGCCTGATGTCTGTTAGCCTGATGTCCAACACCTAGAACTATGACAGGACCAGGGTTTCTGCCCTTTTTGTGTCCAGTCTAGGCAGAGGATAGTGAACGCTCATGAAGGCAGAGATTGGATTCTTTTTAGCAGAGGCCAAGGCCATGAAACTGCTAATATAAAACAGATTTTTTTATAACTTTTGATGTCATGTTCTAGGTTTTCTTAATGCAAAGGGAGGGCAGCACTTTAACTACCTCCCACTACTTGCTGTGTTCACTAGTCTCTTTATGGTTACGTCAGGCACCAGGAGCAAGATTCACTTTTGAGGACCATGAGAGCATGGGATGAAGGTTAGAACCATGGTTTCATTAGTGATAGGTGCACTGTTGGAGTCTGGCAGGAGATAACTGTAACGTGTTGCTTTGAAGCAACAACTTCTCATTTCAAATATAGCTGCTTCTCAATAATTCATACAAGTTTAAAGGAGGTTTTCAGCTGCCTCCAGTTTTCTTGTTACCAAAAATGACATCCCAAAGTAAAAAGTACCGAAAGCCCCTTCAAAGTCTTAAGCGCCTGACTTTATGGGACTTCCTTGGTTGTTTTGGTCTTGGGAGGCTCAAGCAATTCCAACTATTCTTAGCTCTGAGCATCGTTCAGATGTACTTTACAAAATACTTGACTTTTGCCTGTTATCAGAAATGCGTCTGGGGTTTAAAGACCTGATCCTGTAAGGTGTTACGTGCTTTCTGGAAAACACTGAACAGCAACCACTGGAAACTGGTGGTAACAAGTAGTTTGGCTGTTTTGGAGGCATTTGGTACTTCCCCAGATGGGGCCAAAGTGACCATGAGTTAGAATGATGGATGCAAGCCTGGTGTTAGGTGGCTTGGATGACACCTAAGGTTAGATGTTATCTGATGCTAAATCTACCCCATCTTACTTTCATAGGTCCACACCCGTGTGTCTATGGCTTGTTGTGTTGGTTTGCTGGGCCTCAGAGCTGCTGTCTGGGCAGCAGCACAGATTGTTTCATCCGCTAAAGTCTTCCACCTGCTGAATTTGTCCTTCTCCCTTGAGACAAAGACCTTGTGGCCTCCTTCCTTGGTGCTGAGGTGGAAGCCCAAGCTCTGCAGAGTCAAGTGTCCTTTCTTGCTGCAGGACCATGCTTGGCGTTCCCAGTCCCCGCAGGGCTCCAGCTTGACCGGGGCATACTCCCGCATCTTGTGGGCCGACAAGCACTGCTTTGTTTTAAGGCTGACGATGGTCCTGGTGGCGGGGTCCCAGCTCCACTGCTGCTGCTGGGAGTTCTCCTTGCAGTCACTCAGGCTGATGCCGTTGGTCTCGTGGTGGGAGGTGTGAATGCACTTTTCCAGCCGGGTGTTCCTTATGAGGAAGCCTTGTTCCCCTGCTACTGTGGTACAATCAGAGCATGGTTTAGTACTGCGTATGTCTGAGGCAAATGCGTCTTCTGGGCACCAGACATTGTAAACGCCCCGGGGAAGGGAAGACGCAACCCACCAGTCCTTTCCTGCATAGGCATGCCTAGATAAACATTTCCCCCAGCTTCCTAATTCCCCAGAATGACATTTCTTTAAAATACAGGGTGTGCAAATAGCCAGGAGCAATACCAGAGAGAAATAACAATGACATAAGTAACCCATGTAATTAATGGGAAAAAACTCACCATCCTTGAAAAGTTGTACTGTTATGAAATACCTGGCTATATATACTTAATTCAGTATTTCAACTGGTTATAGCTTTAAATAGATACCCATCCTTCCCTCCCTCCAAAATAATTGGATGGTTTGATTTTTTTTTGTCCCTAC